GAAAGAATGGTGCAGCAATGAAGGAATGAAAACCCAAAATCCCTGTAAATGTTCATTAAAACTAATAAAAAAAAAAAATAAAATAAAAAAAAAAGAGGAAAAGAATACAAAGAGTCAATGTTCTGAAATAACTGGTCAACCCAGAACCATTTCAAGAAGTAGTATATGATCAAGAAGAAATGGTACTGAAGAAAGACATTAAGATACACTGAAAACATCGGCAAAAAAATAAGGTGCCAGGAGTTGATGGAGAAATAACTGAAGTACTTCAGCAAACAGATGTAGCCCTGGATATGCTCAATAGTCAATGCCAAGAACTCTGGAAGAGAGTTACCTGACTGAAAACAAGGACCACTAGAAAGATGTTTACTTGTGTTTTATTGACTATGGAAAGGCATTGAACTGTGTATTTATTATTATTTAATAATAAATGATGGATAACATGGAGATGAATGAGAATTCCAGAAGACTTAATTGTGTTCATGTGAAATCTGTACACAGACCATGCTGGTAAAAGTAGGGTGTCAGTGAAAGGGGAAAAAGACCCCTCCTTGAGTTGGACTAACACAATGATTGCAACAATGGCCTTGAGCATGGCAGAGATTATAAAGGATAGGGTAACATTTTCTTCTTTGGAAAAATGTCTATTCCTTGCCAATGTTAGTTTTCAACATTGTTGCAGAGATATAAGAATTATTTATATAACTGAGATACTAATCTGAACAAATTTCAAAGGGCACATCAAGAAGACAAAGCAAATTATTATAACGGAAGGTGCAGAGAGCTGGGATTGGAGAATAAAAAGAGAAGAATTTGCCCAGCATTTTCTCAAGCTGTAAGAACTAAATGAATTCAAGCCTTGAATTGCAATACTGATACGGAGACATGCTATGGGCATCTTGAATCTTAAATGATCCAGGAAGGACCAAAAGAATTTTGAGGGAATACACAGAATCACTGCATCATAAAGAATTGGCTGATGCTGAAACATTTCAGGAATTATATCATATGATCAAGAATGAATGGTAATGAAGAGAGATGTTCAAGCTGCACTAAACGTTCTGGCAAAAAGTAAGGCATCAGGAGTCAATGGGATACGAACTGACATATTTCATCTAATAGATGTAGCCCTGGATACGCTGATCAATCAGTCTATACTATGAAATTTGGAGGATAGCTTCCTGGCCAACTGACTAGAAAAGTCTCATTACCAAGAAAGGTGATCTAAAAGAATGTGGGAATTATCAAACAATATCATTAATATAATATTCAAGCAAACTATTGCTAAAGATCACTTTAAAAAATGGCTAGAAAAAAAAAAGGCTAGAACAGTACTTATGCAGATAGCTGCCAGAAACTCAAGCTGGATTTAGAAGAGACCATGGCACCAGGATGTCAGATGGATCCTGGCTGAAAGCAAAGAATACTAGAACAGTGTCTATTTGTACTTTATTAACACATTGCCGCAAATGATGGCAAATGTGTTTCTAATAAGCGTGGTTGTCAATTTAAAAAGTGGCAACGTGTTAACTATGAAAAGGCATTAAACTGTGTGGATAATATAAAATTATGGCTAACATTGAGAAAAAGGAAAATCCCAGAACACTTAATTGTGTTCATAAAAAACCTATCCCAAGACCCAGAGGCTGTTGTGTGAACAGAGCAAAGGACATGGCTTAAAATTAAGAAAAGTACATATTATGGTTGTATCTTCTCTCCAGTTTTTCAGTCTGCATACTGAGCAAATTACTCAAGAAACTAGACTCTATGAAGAAGAATGTGGCATCAGTATGGGAGGAAGACTCATCAATGATGTATGCTATGAAGATGACAAGGTTGCTTTCTCAAAGTGAGGACGATTTGAAGTGCTTGCTATGGGAGATCAATGAACACAGGCTTCAACATGGATTGCAAAAACAAACACTAAAATTCTCACCACTGGACCAATAGGCAACAGCATGATAGATGGAGAAAAGATTGAAATTGTCATTATTTATTTCCTTTTACTTGGATCCACAATCAGCACCCTTGCTGCTAACTGTAGGAGACATATTGCACTGGGAAAGTCTACTAAGCAATGACATCAATTTGAAGACAAAGATGTGAAGATTAAGATGTGCCTAATTAAGGCCATAGTCTTTCCAATTACTTGCTTTGCTTCTGAGAGCAGGACAATGAATAAAAATGACAGAAGAAGAATTGATACCTTTGAACTGTGGTGTTGAAGAGTTCAGAAAAGATCCAACCAGAGTGCTCCTTGGAAGTAAGGATGGCAAAGCTTCACCTGTCATACTTTGGACATGTTGCTAGGAAAAACTATTCTCTGGAAAGGGATATATATCATGCTTAGAAGGGTGGAGAGTCAGAGAAAGAGAGAAAGACTCTCAACTAGGTGGGTTGAAACAGAGACTGCAGTAATGGGCTTGAATATGTCAGAGAATGTGAGGTTGGCACAGGACAGGGCAGGTTTTAGATCAAAATTCTTACCAAATATATGATTTGCAAATATTTTCTCCCAATATGAACAATGTTATAATGTCTTTTCACTCTCTTGACAGTGTCCTTTGAGGAACAAAAGTCCTAGGTCTTATGAGGCATCCATTTGAACTTCAATGATACTCAAGTTATGTATTTTATTTTTGTTTCTATTAAAGTTTGTGCTTTTGGTTTCCTGCCAAAGAGTCCATGATCCCAAGATCATGAAGCTTTTCTCTCATGCTTTCATTTAATAGTTTTAGCTCTTTGATTTGGGTCTTTGATCCATTTTTAGTACATTTTTTTATGCAATGCATATTGTAGGAGTCATGTATATCCAATGTCCTCAACTCATTTGTTTTTGCAGTCAGTATGTTGATATTTTTAAAAAAGGAAATATTTTTAAAGATATAAGTAACAGAAAGGGCACTCTGGTGGCCTAGTGACAAGAAGCTGCACTACAATCCTAAAGGCATACGGTTCGAGGCCACCAGCTGCTCCGTGGGAGGATGGGCAATCTTCCCGCCAGAGAGTCAGCTATGAGTCAGTTCCAACTCTACAGTAGAACAACAACATAGGTAACAAAAGTGTTGTCATTTCAACAACCCACAAATGTACAGTTTAGTGCCATTAAATGTTTGTCTTTTAAACTGTCAGCATTAACGGTTCCTTAATTTATGAGCACCCTAACCAGAAGTTCCCTATGTGTCCTGTCTTCCTTTCCTCTCTCCCTCCTGTCAGCCCCACTAATAATATTATTAGCTCCATCACCACTAATAAATTTGATCTTTTTATACTTGCCTATTGTAGATAGTTTAGACAAGTTGGATCATACAGCATTTGTCCTTTTGTGACAAGCACTTTGGTCAAGCAGCTCCCTTTCAGACAGTCATGACTTTGTCTTTTATCCTGATAACTCTTGCCCAGGGAGATAAACGTGTTGGCCTTAGGAACTTTCCGAAAACCATTTAGGACTCAGCCAGAATGTCATGCACCTGTGTCCACTAAGTCCATCAACATAAAAAACTGTCTACCAGCCCAGTCCCCCCTTGCACTCAAAGTGCCTCCCTAAGCCACGCGTTTGCTCCTCACCTTCAACTCATAAAAATCAGGAGAGTAGGAGGGGCTGCCCGAGAGGCCTCCCTGGGGTGAGGAGCCTTCTCGCTATGTGCAGCTGGTGTCACGATCAGCTTTGCCTGATGAACATGTTCTTCTAGTGGCCTTTGGGGATTTGGATGGTGACAATTCACTCATGACCGACCACATAAGATTAGACTGCGCACCCTGGTATGTGGTGAGATATAAGAAGCCCCAATGGCCAAATGAAAAGCCCCTTGACGCTACCTCCAACTGCTCCCTTCTCAAAGCTACCAGGACAGAAACACCTGCATTGTTGGGGCCACGCCCTGGGAGCACTTTCATTAAGAGTAGTCACCTCCACCTCCCTTATTTATTTATTTATTTAATTTTTTTTTTTTAATTTTTTTATTTTTTTTTTTTTAAGGGAGCCCTGGTGGCGGCAAGGATTCTGAGGCTCCGTTTAACATACTTTGGACATGTTGTAAGGAGAGACCGGTCCTTGGAGAAGGACATCATGCTTGGGAGGGTGGAGGAACAGTGCAGGAGGGGAAGGCCCTCTATGAGGTGGATTGATTCAGTGACTGGGGTAATAGGGATGGGTGTGTCGGAGACGGTGCGATTGGCACAGGACAGAGCAGAGTTTAGGGCTGTTGTACATAGGGTCGCTATGAGTTGCAAGTGACTCGAGGGCACATAACAACTGGTGGCCTAGTGGTAAGGAGCTGCGCTGCAAATTGAAAAGCAGGGTTGAATGCACCAGGCTGCTCTGCAGGAGGATGGTCAATCTCTTCCAGTGCCATTTCCTGCCTCTGAAAGCCAGCTGGAGGGTCAGCTATGGAGTGAGTTAGACTTTTCCGGAAACCAGGATGCACGGCCTACTCTGCCCCTTGCTCGCAGGGCGACGGCGCTGGATCGCTACCAGCTGCAGAAGGCGGGTTTCACACACGTGCTAAATGCAGCCCACGGCCGCTGGAACGTGGATACGGGGCCCGACTACTACCGCGACATGGCCATTGAGTACCACGGCGTCGAAGCCGACGACCTGCCCACCTTTGACCTCAGTGTCTTCTTCTACCCTGCGGCCGCCTTCATCGAAGATGCGCTTAGCCTTGAACACAGTAAGAGACCCCAGGCCCCTGCACCATCATGACTGTGCCCGAGGCCACGCCCCTACACTAGGCCCCGCCCCTGAGGTCACGCCCCATAGGTCTGTCACTCCAGCACATTAGCCCGCCCATTGGTACTTCCCTTTGGCCACACCCATTCTCCCCCTCCCATCCATCCCGCCCATTGGTCCTCCCGTCGTGCTGGGGGACAACCCGCCCATTGGCCCGACCCTGTGCCCATCTCCCTGGATTGAGACCTGGAGCGGGATCAAGTGCATTTTAAAAGTATGTGCACCTCTCAGGGCACCCTGCCAGAAATGTGGGTGGTTAGAAAATAATGACTCAGCCTCAGAAGGACGGTGGGGCTTGAAGACCTGACCTTCCCGTGGGATTTAGGCCTGGGAAATTGAGATTAAAGGAGCAAACTTTGGCCTGAATGTCTTCCTTGGAAAACAGACATTCCTCAAACATCTGGAATGTGAACACGCTCAAACGTGGGGTTTTGGCAGAGCCCTAAATTGTACCTAGATCCACACTAGACCGATTAGTCAATTTCAATGCCAGGGAATTGACTTTCAGTTCTCCAGCCACCTGACCAAGCTTACAGCCAGGGTATCCTAGTCATATTCAGAACTTTCCAAGCCCTCTCCTAGACAGCTTATAGCCTGGGCTTTGTGAGTGGCAAAGCATATTTGGGAATCTAGGTTTCATACCCCAAAGCCCAAATTTCCCAAGAAAATATATTCATCTTTAAATCACAGTGCTAGGCCTTGCCCTCAAAATGCAGTTTTGGCTGCCCTGATCCAGGTAAAAGTTACAAGGCTATTTTGGAGAGAAGGATACAGTTTTGGTATATATCCAGGATAAGCTAATAAGCAGTTGTTGCTCTTGAGTATATTTCAGTGGCATTCCACAGAGGCCAGAGGTACTTCTCCATGAGTCATAGGTCTTTGTGAGTCCATTACATAATCCAGGGTATCTAGTTACTAAAAGCCATTCTTGTTATAAGAGGAATTCCAAAGGCTCACTAGCTGACCAACTTGCTTGCTTCAGGAGCCTGGGTCTAGGCTTGCCCTGCTGGAAAGTCCCAGTCCTGGAGGATGACAGGCCCAGGTGGCTCTGCCCTCTGGTCAGTCATAGCCATCAATAATTTGTTGTTGTTTTGGTTCAGGAAACAATGTCATGGATGACAAAGCCCCACAGAGTTGAAGTGCTTGTGTTAGGAGACATATAATTTTTAAGTTATCCTTTTATGAGTCTATTTATGGACCATCTTTTGTGCTATGTACATTTGGAATTTCCAAACAGGATCAAATAAGTAAATGGATTCTGACTCATCACCATGAGGTAACATTTGCCTCAGTATTTGAAGTTAACTGAAAACATCTTTGATGTGAAAAACCAAAAGCCACAACAACTCTGTCCCTCAGATTCTGTTTAATGTGCTCACTTGCCCTTCCTGTATTTTAGACCATCTCTTTAATAGAAGGGGCCCGGCTGGCTTTGGAGAAGACAAGACTGGCTTCCTCTCACATTGCACAGCTAGTGATGTGATTGCTTTAAGCCTCGGTTTCTCCATCTGGTGATGAAAATATTTACCTTGAAATGTTATAATGAGGATCAGCAGCCACACACACATCAAGCGCTTAACACAGAACCTGGTGCACAGCAGGCTTTCAGATGTGTTTGATAAAGAGAGGTCGTGCACCGTGAAGCATGTAACCACACCAGCACATGCACACAATAATAACAATTTCCAATCCCAAAGGGGAAAAAAAAGAAAGAAAAAAGAATAAAAAAGACATTCCAACTTTGAACTAGTCCAATCTGCTCATGTGACAGCTTGTTTTAGATTCCTGGCACGCCATATTAGAATTAGCCTGCCCCTTCCACCACCATCATTCACTTCCTGACAAATCAGGAAAGAATTGGGCTCTGAAGTTCTGTGTTTAAGCCTGGGAAGATGACAGGGCTTTGAAAGGAAGGTGGTGAAACGATCTAGGCCACGACTCTCAGACCAGGTGGTCCACAAGCTGCAAAGAAAGGACCAGGCCAGAGATGGGTCAGAGAATGTGCAGGGAACCACCATGAGGAGAAAGATATGAGGCTACAATCCATGGTAGGCTGGGGTCAGCTCTCGGTAAACTTTGCATTTGTATATCTAAAGATTCTTGCAAGGTAAGGGTTCAACCACCAATGACTCAGGACCAGGCAGAGGATGTAAATGAACTAGCTAGGATAAGGCAGTGGGTGATGGTGTGGGGGCTCTGAGCTAAGCAGAGAGCTGCTCTATGAGAGGTGAGGTAATTGCTCCTTAGCTTCAGCCAATTTTGCTTGTGAGGAACAGAGAAAATGTGGTAGATCTTTGGATTTTTCAAAAGACATGTCAATTTTTTTTTATATTGTGTAAAATCACTCTGTCCGTGTTGGCAACAAATGAAAAGTCTCTTAAACGGCTGTGAAGGTCAAACAAAGGCACCCCAGTGGCCTTGTAACCTGTGTGTTTAATGCTCAGAGTAACAAAATGAAATGTTCAGGAGCTCGACCAAGGCCTTTGGGTGCAGATGGCACACCTTGTCCTGTCGGTGCCCGGCCTGAACACCCAGCCAGTCCTGCCTGGTTGTCTCTAGTCATGCGTTGGAAAACCGAAGGACATTACTGTAGCATTTGAGAGCCAGAGCCACTCCTCTGTTTATTATTACACTGTTGAAGTCAGACGTGTTGATGGACAGTGTGGCCAGAGGCCAGGCACGTCTCTGTCCTCTGTCTTGTCCTTCCTGATCTCTGTGGACCTGGTTTCAGTCACGTGGACCTGGCTTCCCACTGCATTCCTCACAGTCAGCCTTGTCCACTCCCTTGAGAGCACATCTCGTGGACCTTCAGAGTTAAACTGTGTCCCTATGTCAGCCCCAGGGTCCATCCGACCCTCCCTTCCCTGGATCTACTCCTGGTGAAAAATTTCCTCAGGCAACCCCAATCATTCTAGAAAAGTCTCAGACATAATCTAGCCCAGTGCCTGCCCTGACTGCTGGTGAAACAGAGGCCGGGAGAGGCCAGGTGATGAGGTGGCTGAGCTAACCTGAGGGGCCCTGCCAGGACACTACTTACCAGCAGGGGTTCCTCCTGCCACTCAGGCCCCATGAAAGAGTCCTTTGCCTGTATTTTGAGCATCTGGTGACATTGCTGCCTAAGAGGTCACCTAATATCATGACAAACAAGGCACTCCGGCTGTTTATATGACTGAATACAACTGAACTTGTCATTCTTCATCAGAAAAAGGACTCCTGCTAAAACCCTGCTACCCTGTTTGAATGGCCGTAACCACTTCCGGCATGGCATTCTCTGCGGTGAATTAGTGTGGTTTTAATTTCATGAAATCTTTTAAGGAACCCCAAGGCAGATACCACAAGACTCTAAAGAGCAGATTTTATGGGACCACTTCTCCCTCCTCTGCCCCTCCAGCTTCTTACTCCCTCCCCTCCCCCACATCCTTTCTCTTTCCTTCTTGTCTCCCTTTCTTTCTTTCTTATAAAATAAGCAACCCTCCTTTTGAAGCCATCTTACAGCCTAGGACCGGTAAGGCAGGTGTGAATAGAGAATGACGTCAGCTGGGAGGTGGTTCTGAGCTTCTGAACTTCACCAGAGACTATTATCACCAAGCAGCTTAAGCATCTCCCTATTGCAATGTCCTGATCCCTTGTCTGGGGGTTTTCAGAATGTTTTGTGGCCATTCGCTGAAATCTGAGGGTGTCTCCACAAACAAGAGCTGTTTTGGGGGAAGTGTGAACTCAGGCAGGTCCCAATATAATAAGGGGAGAGGGACAACAGCATGGAGCAAAACGAAGGAGGGTGCTTGGGAAGGTGCATAAATGGACAGGGATAGGCGTGTGTGTGACTGTGTGTGTGCGTGTGTGTGTGTGTGTGTGTGGTTTATGTATGTATGTATGTATATATGTGGCACAACCAGGCAGGGATGGGGTGGGCAATGGATGTGGCTCTTCTGTGACCAAGAGGTTGACACTGGACTAGACATTGGGGAAGCCAGTAAAGAGTCCAGATTTGGAGTTTCTTCACAAGAATGTGGGAATTCCTTTTTGGTAAAGGCCAAAGGAAAGATATTTAATCTAAACCAGATTTTCCAAATACAGACTGTGACCTATTATGAGCCATAAAATCATTTTAGTGAATCTTAAGCAGCATTTCATAGAAAAATGAACACAATAGAAAATGTAAGCATGTATGTTTTAAAGGCACAAATTGTTCAGGAAACTTTTATTCTTGCCACATGCATTGCAACACTGCCCAGCAGGAAGGATCTTGGACTTTGGAGTCAGATGGCCTACGCTCAAGTCATGGATCTGCCACCGTGACAGCACGTTCATTCAGGCCTTTCACCTTGGCTGCTGTTGGTCTCACAGAAACGCTCAGAGGTGCTCCCATGCAGTCCTTGCTGGGAAGAGGCCAATTGCAGCCTTCCAGGCCCAGCTTCTCCTTCCTGACTCTCCTGAGGCAGGTTCTTCCTCCACCTGATTCTAGGTCCCCAGACCGGGGAGCCTGACAGAGCCCCTGCAGACAGGAAGCAGGGCTGGGGACCAGCAAGGCCAAAGAAAGTGGTCAGAGCCCCACCCAGGCAGACCTCCCTACTGGCCTAGGGCCTGGCTCAGAGTCGGTCTTAAGAACAAGCTCCAGGAACTGCTTCAATGGTCTCCAGCCTCCCCTCCTCCTAGACCTCTCATCCCCTCCTCCCACTTAACAGACTTCAGCTTCTCAAAATGCTTAATGAACTACAGCTTTCGCCTGTTTCTAGTATTTAGTCATGACAGAAAGAATTACCCTTTTTGCCAGGAAAGGAAGAAACGCTTTAGTTATCAGCAGAGCTGGCAGGGGGCCAGGCAGCCTCAGGAGACTTTGGAGGGGATTAAAATGCAGAGGTGGACTCTTCTGGCCATTGGGTTCACACCCAAGGGCTCCATCCTGTTGTGAAGACCCTGGGGGCCACCTCCCCCATCCTA